CAGGACCTTTCAGTCCGCAGGCCAAAGCTCTGTCCACTGAACCAAACCAGTTTCAGCTACATGCATTTTTATTGATTTCAGAGAGGAAGGGAGAGGGAGACAGAAACATCAATGATGAGAGAATCATTGATTGGCTGCCTCCTGCACACACCCACTCCTGCCCCCTAGGGATCAAGCCCACAACCCAGGTACCTTTCAGTCCACAGGCTGATGCTCTATCCACTGAGCAAAACCAGTTAGGGCTCACTTTAGCGTTTAGAAGATAAGTATTGGATGGGTGATGCAAAGACGGTGGATGGGCTTGTGAATGGCCACACGAGTGGGTAAACATGGTGGTGGTGGGTGGACGGGTGACAGGAGGCATTGAAGGAGGCGGACGTTTGTCCTGGGGCCGGTGGGGACCAGCGATGGGATGGCCACAGGAGATGGGTGGGCACCTCGGAGAGCAGCCTCACTGTCTCCCCGAAGCTCCCTCTGCTTTTCTCCTCTTTCTCATGTTCTTCCTCGAATCCCTGTCTCGGTGCTGGTGAGGCATCCTCTGGGCGTGAGTGAACTCCCTCAGGTCTGAAGGAGCTCCAGGAAGCAGAGGGCTGCTGTCTCCTCTGCGCTGTCCGCATTCCCTGGCAGGTCTCCGGACCCGCCGCCCTCGCCTCCTTCTCCCGATGGCAGCAGGACAGCGGCTCTGTGGCCACCACCGTCCCGCGTGGTGGCTCCAGGCGAGATGCGGCCCAGTGCACACAGAGTGCACGCAGGCCTGGCAGCCGCAGTTTTCATTGCCCAGTGTCCGTGCTTCGGTCCAGGCCCGTGGCCCACGTGTGTCCATGCACGCCTGGGGTCACGCTGGTTTTGGGAACCGTGGTGAGAGGGAAGCCTGCTTCTTGTGGGGTGGGAAGAGATGGGACACATGTCTGGGGCTTCCGATGTGCATTAGGTTTTTGGCATTTGCAGACAAGATTCCTAGCAGAACATTTATTGCTTTTATGAAAACAAATGGGCATATTTCGTAGTGCTATTTAAAAGGAACAAAAGGCAACTGTCAGATCTCTGAGTGCATGCAGTCAGTCAGCAAACAGGTGTCACATAAGAGTCTGTTGGCGCCTGCGCTTGCCGGTGGGCGGGGCGGTTGACAGTCAGCTCCTGTCCCGCCCGCTCCCCCAGCTTCCAGCACCTGCAATTAACCCGCACCCCGAATCCTGGCGCCCGCACCTGCACCTGGGCCCAGCCTGCCTCAGCGCGGGGCGGTTGCCTGGCTGGTGGGCGCCCAGGGCTCCCCCTGGGCGAGGGCTCGGCTGCCTCTGCCAAGGGGACATTTGCCCCTTGCGTGTTTCCTGAAACACCACTGCTTTTAGGGTATAGATCCTTAAGTGACCACTACTCACCATTTTCTTTCTTTTCTGAGGCTTTTCAAATTGTGCAAAACCGTGCTCTTTAGGGGAGTGCAGAAACACAAATATGCGGGTCAAAAGCAGGAACGCAAGCCCCGTGGGTGCCCCCCGGAGGCTGGAGCTGACTTGCCACCCCCTCTGGCTGGTGCCTCTGAGCACCTCCCCCCCCTCATGATCTTGCTCATCTTTTTAGTTTCATTTCTCATTTTTTCTTTATCAATTCACACCTTTTTTTCATATTTTTAAATATATTTTATTGATTTTGTACAGAGAGGAAGGGAGAGAGATAGAGAGCTAGAAACATCGATGAGAGAGAGTCATCGATCAGCCGCCTCCTGCACACCCCACACTGGGGATATGTCCGCAACCAAGGTACATGCCCTTGACCGGAATCAAACCCGGGTCCCTTCAGTCCCCAAGCCGACGCTCTATCCATTGAGCCAAACCGGTTTCGGCAACTCACACTTTTTTTTTAACCAAATTTATTTTTTAAACTTTTTTTTAATTGAGGAAACATTCATGCAACATAAAATTAGCCATTTAAAGGGTCCAGTTGAGTGGCATTTCATACACTTGCCTCCCTCTGGTCCCAACGCGTCTTCCTCCCGGACAGGACCCCGTGCCGCTGAGCAGCCACTCGGCCTCCTCCTCGCCTCACCCCTGGCAACTGCTAGCTACCTGTGTGCTCTGGTGACTCACTGGGAGGACTCTATCGATGGAGCCCTGCAGTCTGTCTACCACGTAGCACCATGGCTTTGCACGGCGACAGGAGGGACCGAGCGGGCCGGGAGGAGCGAGCCTCGTGTCCGGCTCCTGCTCCGGCTGCAGAGGCGGGAGGCACAGAGGTCCCGGGCTCCATCCTCTCTCCTCTGCCTGCCCGGCCTCCAGTGGCCTCACCACACCCGCCAACGCGTGGTCTGCACGGTGCAGCCCAGGAGCGGTCCGCGCCTTTGCCGGCTGTCTCCTCCCCGGGGCAGCTCACGGCCGGGTTGAGGTGGAAGTGGACATGTTGTGTGGGCTGTGGGGACACTTAGGGTCTGGGACTCAGGGGCCCGGGCAGGGAGTCAGAGGAGCAGGGAGGACAGAGGTGCAGAGAGCGAGAACAAACGTAACCTCGACCTATAAACGGAGTCATTGTCCCTGGAAGACAGTAACTCCTGGCCGTGGGGGCTGCCTGTCCGAGGGTGTGGGAGTGAAGAGGTTCTCCCTGCGCCTGTGCCTGCCACCTTGGCGCAGAGGGCCTGGCAGCTGGGCGGGAGAGCTTCCGTGGGCTCTGCATGTGGCTCGCTTCCGAGTGGTGGGGCCCTTAGGACTCTCTGGGCCTCAGTTTCCTTGTTTGTGAGAATGCCTGTGTGTGCAGTCCCAGAGCCGATGTGTGCGAGGTGCTCAGCAGAAGCCGCAAACAGGGATGGGTGACAAACGCCCCCATTGTTATTCTTCTTAGCGCCATAAACTGCCCTGAACGCCATCACCTCCTCAGTCCTCCCCAGTCTGGGGCAGAAAGACCTTTCCTGCTCTCAGAGCTCACCATTTAGTGCAAGACAGACAACGGGACACACAATCTATCGGGGCGGAAACGCTGTAGTGGAGGGGGCTCCAGCTCCTCGGTGGTGGCTGTGTACCCGGCCTGGAGGCCTGGGCAGAGGGGGGAGAGGGCCGCACTTGGCCTCGCAGGAGCACACGCCCCGAGGTCGGTGCCAGGCAGGAAGGAGTGGCTGGAGCACGGGGTCTGATGGCACCTGTCCTGGGGACAAACGGCAGCTGCTGGCTCCAGGTGCTCCTGGCCTCACCTTGGACAGAGCCAGCAGCAACCCCTCCTTGGCTGGCATTCCTGGGGTGACATCACACCGATGCCAATGCCCTGACTGTGCTGGGGAGAGGAGGAAGCTCCTCCGGCAACGTCCAGGCAGGCGTCCGCTGCAAGCTCCCGGTCTGCACTGGCTGCAGCCACCCAGCCTGGCAGGGATGGCAGCCAGGCTGGCGCCCTCTGTAACCTGATGCTCGCCTGCATCCTCCCCAGCTTCTGAGCCCACTCCTCAAGGCACTCAGACAGCCTGGGGTCACGGTGACCTTTTCCCGCTGGCTGCCAGGCCTCCTCGCAGTCCCCCCTCCCCCCGGCCTCCCAACCCCCAGGTCCTGGGAACCACTGCATGGAACAGGATGGCTGCAGCCGCCGCAGGCTGGGTGAGCTGGGACCAGGTGTCCCTGGGCCAGGCAGGGTCCCGCAGCCCCTGCCCCTTCACTAAGACTCCTGCCTCCATTAGTGCCAGCCTTGCTTAGGAAGCAGTCCTGACCTGCAGGCTGTGGCTGCAGGAGTTCCCTCAGCCCCTCAACGCAGGGTCCAGCTTTCCCCTCCTCCCACCCGGACTGACTTGAGCCTCGCCCGCAAAAGGCACAGACACTGATTGGATGCAAAATGATGTGATCACGTGCCAGGCTCTGGGGTCACACTGCCTGCAATTAGTCCCAGCTCTGCAACTTCCGGCTGTGTCACTGAGTAATAGCCTTTCTACGCCTCTGTTTCTTCATCCATAAAATGGGATCGTCATACTTACCTTCCGTGCTAACCCAGGGGCGGGGAGACTTTTTCTGTGCAGGCAGGGCGTCCTCAGCGCTGTGGCTGCACTCAGCTGTGCTTGTGGCAGACACAGCTGCGGACAGCCTGTAAGCGCAGAGGCATGGCTGTGTTCCAATGACATTTATTCATGGGCTGAAATCGGAAGCTCGTAAGATTTGCATGAATCACAAAACATTCTTCTTTTGATATTTTTTAAGAGAAATGGAGGATAAAACACCCATTCTTAGGTGACAGGCAAAACCAGGGTCATAGTTTGCAGCCCAACACTGAATGTTGTAAGAGCGGGAAAGCCCAGCTCCTGTTCTCCTGCTGATATCGACCCACCCCTGCTTAATCCGGGAGCTGGGTCATGGGAGGGCGTGGCTGTGGGAGGGAGTGGTGCGGGGTCTGCCTGGAGGAGCAGCCTGCGGGACACAACCCTTTATGCCTTGGGCTTCCACTGGACAGGCATGGCCAACAGTGCCCTTTAGCTGGCTCCTCTCTGCCTGGGAAAGGGGCTTAGCTGCCCAGAGCAGGCCCCACCTCCTGCTCCCAGAGGCCGCCTTTCACATCCCCAGCCTCCCCCCTGCACCCTCTCCCTCCTACCAGGACCTGCCTGAGGGCTAAGGAGCCGTGGCCCCCATGTCAGTGACTAAAACAGTTCATTCACCAGCAGCTCCAGGCCCGCTGGAGCTTCCTCTGTGCTGGGCACAGCCCGCCTTGTCAGCCCCCAGACCTCAGCTCACATCCTGCAGCCCCAACCTGGCTGGGAGCTGTGAAGTGTTTCTCAAATTCTGGCAAAGAACTCTGCCAGGCACCCTTCCCGGGCCCCGTCCCCGGCTGGAGCGCGGGCGGGATTAGCGCTGCAGGTCCTGACTTGGCGGGATGGCTCCGAGTGCTGCTGGCCGGGCCCACAGCTCCCTGCACACGCCAGGCAGACTCCCAGTCAGTCTGAAAAGCCCCGTGGGGGTGCAGAGGGCCCCTCTGTGTGCAGGAGACAGGCCCAAGTCCTCAGACCAGGCTGGTGGTCCTGGCTAGACTTCTCCTCCTCGCTCTGCTCAGGACTCAGCGGGCACCTGGGTGTCGGTGAGCTGGTTGGAGAAGGCCCTCTCCAAGCGCAGGGTATTGTATCTGGGGGGCGGCGTGCCAGGCACCTGGGCCCCCGGGGCTGGCGGCAAGCGCAAAGCGGAGGTGAACGTGGGCAGGTCATCGTCTATCTCCAGGACCGGGTTGTCCTGGCCCCGAAGGCTGCGGGGAGCCTCAGGACAGGCGGGTGCCTGCCTGTGGGCCCACCACTTCTTGGCCTTCTGCCACTGTTGGCGGGCAATGATGGAGAGAGAGTCGATGAAGAAGACCTCGATAATCTCAATGATGCAGACGATGGAGCAGCTCATCCACAGGCCCAGCTGGCCACCGAAGTTGGACAGAAGCATCTCCACCTGCAGGAGAGGCCAAGCCACGTCATCAGGCAAAGCCCGCCGGAGCCGGCCCATGCAGGGACCCTGGTCCCCAGGAGAGCCACTGGCTGGCCTTGACCCTGAACAGATTGGAGGAAGAAGTGGGCAGGCTTCCTGTCCCCTCTTCCTCTGCCCACCTGGCTGACCTGTGGTGTCCCCACTAACGCAGGCTCGAACCCCATGGTCTGACTCTGCTCCTGGAGGCCAGGCAGATGGGCACATGTGCAGACCCAGGCCAGTCCCGGAGGGAGCTACTCACACTGTTGGCAGGGCTCTCCATGATGGATCTCTGGTTCAGGTCTTTGTAGAATATCAAGAGTTTGGCCAAGTCTGTCCTGCAGAAATTCCAATAGGTGAGTGGGGTGCCTTTGCATTCCACCAGGTGACCAGCTCTTTGGCACAGCTGCCTCCCTGCCACCCAGCCCCACGCAGGGCCAGGCTCTGAGCTCCACAGCATCTCAGGGCCACGCCCACAGTGCCTTCTGCACCCAGAGCACATCCAGCCAGGCCGCTGCTCAGCTCATCTGTCACTCAAGACCACTTTCCAGCCTCCTAAGTCAGCCAGCCAGCCAGCTATACGGCCAGAGCACCTTGCTCTTCAGTAAGCCTTGGACATTTGTGACCATGTGACTGCAGTCTCAGGAGACAGAAGGAATGTTAAATGAGTAAGGTAGGCTACTATAAGGTCATTATGACAGTAATCATTATAGCAGCTAGTATTTATTGAATACTTCCTGTGTTGGCAAGCACAGTTACAAGAACCTTCTGTGAATTAACTAATTTAATTCTTTACCCTATGAAATAGGATGTTTTAACCCCCTCTCCTCCCGCCCCACTTTCACAGACATGGAAATTAAGAATGAATCGGTAAGCAACTTGCCCAAGATTGGCAGAGCTGATGCTCACACCCAGAGAGCTGACTTCAAAGGCCATGCTCTCATGGCGGTGCTGTACACTGAGGACAGGCAGAGGCAGCGTGAGCATGATAGAACCAACACAAGCTGGAAAGTTCACACTTATTTCAGAAGGGCAGCTGTCACTAAGCTCTCTGGAGCTAAGCAAGAATGGAGGCGTTCTGCTGCCAGAACTTTTGACTTTTCAGGAAAAGCTGGCAACAATGGGTTTTGCGGAGCTGATGTAGCCTTAGGAGCCAGCGATGTGCAATGCTGGCTTAGCAGTGTGCACTCACTGGGCCCACGTCTGTCTTTAGATTGGAAGCATCCTGGGGGAGGGGTCACTTCTGCTCAGTCGTCCTGGTGCCCCAGCACTCACAAAGCACCTGGCACAAAACATTTAGGACGTGATGGGGTTGGCCTGGCTCCTGGCTGGTGCCCAGAGCAGTCAGTCCCCATGCAGCCCCACGCTGCGCCCCACCCCCTCTCCATCTGCTGAGGCCCCTGGGCTGAGTTTTGCTAAGAGAACCTTGGAAATGAACTTCATGAGGAAAATTCAATGGGATTAGAAGTGCAGGACTCAGTGGAGAGTTTTTCCAGCTAGATCACGGTAAATCAGGAACCATGAGATAAATGCACTGGGTCAGGACCAGTGCCTGACCAAGTGAAATGAGATAGAAAGTGTCGGATTGCATCCATTCAGAGAGTCACAATGTTTATCAACTGACAGGAGCACTGGTGGCTCAGAACTGCTCGGGGCAATCGGAATGGGTGTAAGGGGGGCTCGATTCGCCTTCTGAGAGCTGCCCGAGTGCATGCGCAGAAGTGCTGTCTGTGAACTGTTGGTTGTATAGTCAATGGGCCACAGTGGAAAAGTGGTTTTTTACTACGCGTCGTGGGCAAAGCATTCAGAGCACCCGGGAGCACCCGTGGCCGATGCTCACGCTGCCTCTGCCTGTCCTCAGTGTACTGCTACTACGAACTGCACCAGGCCTAGAGCATGGCCTGGCTCATGGCCCGAGCTCATAAATATTTGTCAAATAAAGGAGTGAGTGAGGGAAAAGGAAAAGGTTTGGCAATGAGGAAGCAAGTGAGAAGGCCGGGTCCAAGGCAGAGGAAACAGGGAGGTGGTCAACTTACTTGTTCAGCTTTTTCTTTATTTGTTGGCCTTGGTCCCAAGTGAGAACACGCAGCAACCATTTCTGTGATGGAGAAAGAAGCTGTGGCCTGGGCAAAGCTGAGAGGCCGGCCAGCCCCTCTGCCCTCCGCACTCAGCCCAGCCCCCAGCCCCCAGCCAGGCCTCCCTGGTGTCACCCCTGGGGCCAGAGGACACAGCCAGGCGTCAGCTCCAGGCTGAGGAGCTCCAAGAGGAAGAGGGGGAAGAACTGACCTCAGAAACCACAGATGGCCATTGTGCCAGGCTGGCGGTCAGGGTCCACTCCTTGAAGCTAAGGGCGGAAGGCACAGAGTGAGTGTGGCTGGCCCGCCAGTCCACCCCCTGCCGGCCACCACCTGCTGCTCCCTGCCAGCTGGCCGTCCCTTGCCAGGCCCCCCTACCGGGGTCGCCCATGCTGTCCCCTGCCTTGCCGGCCCACCCAGGCACACTCACCTGCAGGCTTCCCGGCACACGGACTGGCAGCCCAGCTGCTCCTGGACGAAGGCCTGGTGCAGTTCATAGTAGCAGTACACTGAGGACAGGCAGAGGCAGCGTGAGCATCGGCCATGGGTTTGCAGGGCGCCCTCAGGGTGTCCTGTACCTTCCCTGCTATTCTCTACAAACCCGCTCCCGGAAGCAGAGCTGCTTTGTGATGTTCGGGACATGAGCTGGGGGTGGGGTGATGGTCGGCAGCCCTTGATTTGGGCTGTTACTCTCTAGCTGTGTGAGCTTGGGCCAGTTGCTTAACCTTCCTGAGCCTCAGTTTCCTGTTTTATGAAAGGTACTGTCAGTACTTCTTGCCTCCTGGAGTTGGCACAGGTGCCAAGCTCTCCGCACAGGCTGGGCTGTAGCACTGGGTCCTTAGTTGGAAAGTATCAGTTAAGCCAGGCTGGATGGCAGGAGTAAAACTCTCTACCACTATCTCCCTCAGAAAAAAGGCCACCGGGGTAGAGGCCGGGGGCACCCGAGCACAAGCTGGTGCCAGGCGGCTGACGCAGCTCTGGGGCTGCAGGGCGGGCGGGCTCACTCACTCCAGTTGGGGTGCTGCTGGTAGTTGCAGTAGTTGGCTGCAGGAGGCAGAGGCTGGCTGTACTGGGCACATCCACACCTCTCCACCATCTTAGTCTGGAAGCACGAGTGGAGGCAGATCTGAAAGAGGAGACCGGTGATTTCCTTCCCCTCTCTGCCTGCAGAGGCCAGGGCGCATGCCCCCCTCCTGGGAGTTCCCCCTTCTCCCCCTCCCATCCCCCCCCGCACATGCCTCATCCAAAGGGTCAGCCTCCCATAGCCCTGGGAGACCACGTAAATGTGCCCCTCAGGTCGCAGCCAATTGGGCCGGGGCTTCCTAACCGCAGAGACCAAGCTAGAAAGTGTGTGGAGGTGTAGACGCAGCGACGGGGGCCAGGCTGGTGGGAGTGAGCTTGGGGTGGCTGTTTTCTATCATGTGGGCACCGCCCCACAGGACAGTGGGAACATTGAGGCAGATGCCAAGAGACAGAGGGGCACCCAGTCCCCGCCTTTCCCATCTCAGGCCCAGGCCACACTGGATCCTCAGGGTCCAAGGCCAGCACAACCTCCGTGAAGCTTGTAACATTAAAGCTGATGGCGGGGCTCCGAGGCACACGACGGAGTTCAAGTCCATGCTCGCCACTTCCCAGCTGTGGGTCTCAGCCACGTGACTTCACCTCTCGGTGCCTGGGTCCCTCACGGTGGGCGTGGCTGAGGGATACACTAAAGTGTGTGTACATGGGGGCCTCTCAGTGGATACGACCAGGGTGCCTTTCCAAGGAGCCTTTCACTGTTTGGTACTGAGGCCGTTTCACTGCACCTCTGTTTCTCACCAGCAGACGTTCTCTGACCATCAGTCTCCTTCACTGAGAGCCTCGGCCACCCTCAGCTCCGACGGAGCCGGAGGCCAGTGCGGACGGTGCCGTCCTCCCCTCCCACCGTGAATGCCACCGCCTCTCTGGGCCCTGGGGGCAGTGGCTGCGGACTCTGAGGAGGGCCGCAAACTCAAACACGGCTGGGCCCGTGACGTGGTTCGACGCCAGGGGCTGGGGGGACCACAGAACACACGCCTCACGCAGTGGCAGCTCCGCCCACTGCTCTCCCTGCAGGGGCCGGCCCGGTCTTGTCTTTCAGGAGAAGCTGGGGGTTTGGTTTTCTTGTAAAATTCTCCGACTCTTAAACACCATCCAGGCCAGAAAAAGCAGGGAGGGGGTGCTGGTGGGCAGCCCCATATCCAGTCCGACCTCTCCTCTGCCAGTGAGGGGCGGGGGGGGGGGGGGGGAGCCAGGCGGGGGTGCCGCCCACATGCTTCCCTCCCGCGCCTCCCGCACAGGCCCCTTAGGAGGTGGGCCTGTCTCGGCTGTACACTGTGTTCCATCAAAACCTCAGCGGATCAGGTAAGCTCTGGTTACAGACGGATTGGGGGGACTGGAACCAGCCAGCATCGGTTGTTCTTGAGGTGTTTGGAGGAACCCCAAGGACTCTCACTGGAGTTCCTGGTCCCAGACACACCCGGCCTATATATAACTTTGCCTGCCCGGTGGGCGGGCACAGCAGGCGGGCGGGGTGCCCCTGCAGCTCGGAGCGTACCTGGAGTGAGTAGGCGGCGTTGTAGATGTTGTCGATGGGCACGTCGCTGCCATCCTCTGTGCACTGGCTGTACGGCTCACCCAGTTTGAAGGACTCCGTCTACAATCACAGCACCCACGGTCAGCCCTGCTCCTTGGACCCGGGGGCAAGGTGGGGGGCTGCTAACAGCCCCTGGGAGCGGCAAAGCCTTAGTCCTTCATTAACAACTACTTACTGAGCACCTACTGAGTGCGGTGCCACTCTGGGCCCTGAGCACCTACTGAGTGCGGTGCCACTCTGGGCCCTGAGCACCTACTGAGTGCGGTGCCACTCTGGGCCCTGAGCACCTACTGAGTGCGGTGCCACTCTGGGCGCGGTGGATGAACAGTGATCAAACAGATGAGCTCCCTGTGCTCATGGAGCTTACATGCTAGTGGGCAGACAGATGGTCATACAAGCCAATAAAAAAGATCATTGGGTAGTGAGCAATGAGATGGGTCAAGAGCCTGGAGGGGGTGCGGGGGAATCGGGGGAGATGTCTTTGCAAAAGGGATGTGTTGGCGCCACGTGGGATGGAAGAAAGAGCCGGAAGTGCCAAGAATCAGAGGAAGAAGATTAGGCAGAGGGCACGGCGGGGCGAGGGCCAGGCGGCCGCTGCGCAGCCGGGGCGAAGTGCTCGGTGCAGTCAGAGGGAACGCGGTGGCTGAGTGGCAGCCAGACTGGAGGCCCGGCAGCATGGCGGCAAGGAGCAGTGACAGCCAGCTGCATGACTCGTCCCAGAGAAGGGCCTGGGTGCCACCCTGTGTCTTCTGGCCCTGACATGGCCTCTCCCAGACAAAGCCACGGGATGAGGCCTGGTCAGAGGGGCACAAGCGCTGCTGCTCAGGGGCCGCAGTTTATCGTGGTTTGCTCAGTCTGGCTCAGTTTACTAGTCTCGCTGCAAATCAACAGTCCAGGCCAGCCAACCGAGGAGGAGCAATAATGGAGTACAAACGGAGACTCGCCAATAGCCAGGGACCAGGGAGGGAGGGAGTGTGTGTGTGTGTGTGTGTGAGTGTGTGTGTGTGTGTGTATGAGTGTGTGTGTGTGTGTGTGTGTGTGTGTGTGAGTGTGAGTGTGTGTGGAGTGTGTGTATGTGTGTGTGTGTGTGTGAGAGTGTGTGTGTGAGTGAGAGTGTGTGTGTGTGAGTGTGTGTGTGTGTTAGTGTGTGAGTGTGTGTGAGTGTGTGTGTGGGGGGGGTTCTTCTTCTGAGAATGGGGATGAAGGGAAAGTGGATGATAGATTTGTAAGAGGGCAGAACATTCTTTTTTCTTTGAAGAGAGCTTGGCTAGAGAGAAAGAGATTTGGGGGTGGGGAGTAGGGAAGGAATTAAGAGGTCTAAGGCTGGACTCTCGTTTTGTTTGTATTGTAATTCATCTGCTAGCCTGATAGTCTCCCTCAATTAGTGGCAAGTACCCACAAAGGCAACCTACAGTGTTCCTTTTAAAACGTTCAGCAGCAGGAGCAAACAACGGCAAAGTGGCCATCTGTCTCTCCTCTTGCCTGGGGACCCTCTGCAACAGACCCGCCCCTAATCTCAGACAGGCTGGAGGACATGCACCCACTTCCCTGCGCCCGCAATCCACCTTCTTGCTAACAGTAAAGGGTGGGTCTTTCCGGGTCAGTACAGAGCGCACTTCATTCCTCTACTCGCTGGGGAGCAAACAGACGCGGCCTCCAGCACATGCCAGCGCGGGGCGGGCACTGTGCACGGAGAGGCCGCGCAGTGCTTCCTGGAGGTCACCTGGACCAGGCCCCTCCCAGCTCCTCCAGCAGCAGCCTCCATGGGCAGATGTCCTTGGAGCCCCCAAATCCTGAGGATGGGTCAGCTGTCTTGTCCGAGAACCTAGAGCAACAGGTCTGAGCTCTACCAGCCTGGGGGCTGGCACACTGCCCGGCACTGAGGTGAGAGGGTCTGTCCACTCGGTCAGCCATGCACAAACAGCACGGAGCTGGGCTCCCTCCATTTGGAGAACCAGCTCGCGGCCCTTTCCAGGAAACGATGTGAGATACCATCTTGCGATCTTTATGCTTTCTGAGCGCTCGATGGTCCTTCACTCTGCAATGACGCTTATTAAACCCGGGGCCTGGGCATTCAGGCTGCTCCCACCGCAGCAAGGGCAATGGGCTTTTAGAGAGGCACGGAGTCTTAGCTTCTCAAAGGCCCCCATGGATGAACTTGGCCCCCTTCTTCTCTTTCTCTTTTCCCTCACTCCACTGTTAGATCTGCAGACCTGCTGATCTGTGTGAGGTAGGGAACATTGTGGTTGTGTCCTAGGGAGACCCAAAAATGAGACAGGGCACATGTGTGTCTGAATGTGTGCAAGTTATGTGCATGTCTTTGTGAGTATGCACACATGTCTGTGCATACACGTGTATGGGTGTGAGCATGTAGGTGTGCATGCATAAGTAAGTAGGTGTGTTAAGTGTGTGTGTGTGTGTGTGTGTGTAAAAAACAGGACCTGTCTTTATCAAGCCAGGTCCTATCTGCTTCCTTCTGGAATCCCGGGGAGAGGGGCAGCTGCATGGAACCCTTACCTCATCCCTTAAAGGGACGTGAGGTGCCAGGGAAAGCTGGGTGGCAGCAGGATGCCCAATCTGGAATGATGGCTGTTTAACTCTTTTTCCTTTTGTCTTGCTTTTATATAGCAATAAATGATAAACGTTATTTGTGTCTGAAAAGCTTACAATGGAGAAGAAAAGAATTACTCAATAGATGAGATGAGGACAATTAACTATTCAGAGGAAGTAAATCCTATCCCACTTCACCTCCTGCAGAAAAAAATCCCAGTGGGTTGAAGTATGAAATGAAACAATAAAATAACTGGAAGGAAACTGAGCTCAGTGTTTGATCTCGAGGAGGGAAAATCCTCAATAAACATGACAACTAACACAAAGATTTGAGCATGAAAACATCTGGTGTTTGTGTGTGAAAAAGTCACCTGGAGAAGACTAACAGGAAAACACTGCCTGGGGAAGAAATCCGCCACACACATGCAGAGAATGAGAGTCTGTGCATGACAGTGTCCAGTCTCACGCATGAAGGAAGGGCCATCACAACGGACAAGAGAAACCTCCCCGCTCCTCTTTCCTGTGCCTCTCTCTGCACAGCCTGCAGAGGAAGTCAGTCCTTCAGGGCACTCCCCACCTGCCAAGCCTGTTCCAGTGCTTCACGCAAATCCACGCACTGGTCCTCACCAGCCTGTGAAGTCGCACTGTTATTTCATCCCTGTTTTACAGGTAAAGTAACTGAGGCAAAGAGATCGCACAGTCAAGTGCACAGCTGGGGTCTGAACCCTGCTGCCTGGCCCTGCGGTCTGAGCATTGGTCCCTATTGTTTTCACACCTGTGAAAAGAAGTGTGTATGTGCTGAAGATGAAAATGGAGAGCAGGTTTACAATGGCAGTGAACTGTCCCCCGCCCCCAGGGCCGCCCCACAGCCCAGGGGAGTAGTCCACCCTGGCCTGCTTCCTTGTCTTCCATTCATGATTCAACCTTTGTGCTCAGGTTTCTGTTCCGCTCCTTCCTCTCAGAATGTCTCCGGCGAAGAACCCCGGTGACCTCTTCGTTGCCAAACCCAGAGAACAACACCTTTGCCCTTTATCTGGCTTGACTCTCTACTGCATTTGGCCCTTGGCTCACACCTTCCTTGAAAGGCTGTTCCTTGATTTATCTAATTCTAGTCCTTTCTGGCTTCTGCTCCTACTTCTCTGCCTCAACCTCCCCATTTTCTTTCTGCTCAGACCTTCGACAGCTGTGTTCCGCCTTGGGCCCTGGGTGATGCATTTACTTCCAAGACTAGAATGACACCAACAGCACCCAGCTTCCCTGGCCCCTGCAAAGCTCCAGGCTCAGAGCATCACTCACGGGACATTTCCACCTACTTTCCCAAAGGCACAGACATGGGGATGTCCCAGAGAGATGTGGTTATCTTCTCCCCCACTCACCCCTCCTCTTGCAGTCCCTAACTCAGCCTGGCACCTCCATCTGCCCGCTGCCAAGCCAGCACCTACACACCAATCTAACTTGCCTGGCCCTTCCTGGCTGGCCTTGGTTGGCAAGCTCTGTAGTTGCTCTCAAATCCATTCACTTCTGCTCATCCCCACAGCCATTGCCTTAGTTAAGAAACTAACCATTCCCTTCTATAATTACAGGAAATGAGCTGCCCCCAGGCTCCTGATTACTCTCAGCCAATGTGCTTTTTCAAAAGGCTTCACTGCCTGGCTTGCAATCCTCTCTGCGACCATGTTGTAACTGCTCTGGCTTTTGTCTGGGTTACCCTGCCCTGACAGTGCTTGACCCACACTTGTCCTTCAAAATTTCCTCATCTAGAAAGCCTTCACCAACAGCTTCTGTCTGCACTTCCATCCATCCATCCACCCACCCACCCATCAGTAATATTTCCTTGGGACCTGCTATCTTCAAAGACCGGCAGCTGGGAAATAAGGCAGAGAAGGTCCCTGTTCCTGCAGAGCTAAGGACTGCATTGCAAAGGTGTGCTGTCTTTGCTCATGAAAGTAAGACCTTTGAGGTAGATGTTCTGATGTGTTCATCTCTGAAAATCCAGTCTTTGGACACAGAGTCCCTCAGCGCATGAAGGAGATTTTGTTAACTCACCGCCTAAGCAACTACTGAGTCTACCAGCTTAACATGCCCATCCAACAAACAAACAAACACACACAAAAAAAAAACATAGATAAGGAAGGAAGCCTGGTTTGTTTGGACTTATTCTTAATGACTCCCTACTGACCTCTGTCTAATCCCTGTTTTTTTGTTGTAAATGATCATAAATCAGAACTAGAGTTGACTGACCCTGCTCTGTGGCTTTGGTTTTGTACATCTCAAATTAGGCATAGCAGTAAACCCACCCATGTCTTTGTTTACCCACCACTGGCAAAGAGAATATCTGCTTAACAATGTGGTGGGTATTTCTAAGCTCAGAGCAGAAAAAAACCAGAGGGCAGAATTCCTTGGTTCTTGTAAGTCTCCCCAGTCTGCAGATCCTGTGAGCGGCAGAAGGCAAGGAGAGGGTGGTTAAGGTAAGGATACGCTGCAAGGCCAGGTCCTCCCAGCATGCAGGTGAAACTGCGGGGCAGGGGAGGGGTGGGCTCAGCATGTTCACTGTGCTGATCTGGTGACTTGCTGGTGATCAGGAATCAGTGACTCAGCTCCTTGAGTGGTGCCACAGCCTTCTCAAGCCCCAGTTCAAGATCTGATTCTTGAGCAATCAGCATTCACAGCCAAGTTGGTGTAGGACACTTCTCACGTCAAAACGTACTTCCCCCAGTGGATGAAACACAGCCCTTACATAACTCGCCTCCTCAGAGCAGTAGGCCACCATCTGATGGCATTTCTTGTCCAGGGCTGCCTTTTGATGGGACACCACGAGGTGGTGACCCCACAAATGTCCTCTGGAATATCACCATTCCAGCTCATGATCTTTGTTGTCTAACTTCAATATCACTTCCTCAGGAAAGCAGTCCTTGAACTCCCTAAATAACCCACCATTAAAAAGAGCCCTCGGTCAGGCATCCACATGATCTGCTCCCAAGGGTCCTGTCTTTGTCCTCCTTAGCACTTATCATATCTAATAAAAGAGTAATATGCAAATTAACCATCACTCCAACACACAAAATGGCTGCCCCCATGTGGACACAAGATGGTTGCCACAAGATGACCAGCAGGGGAGAGCAGTTGAGAGGGCTCAGGCCAGCAGGGGAGGGCAGTTGTGAGGGACCAGGCCTGCAAGAGAGGGCAGTTGTAGGTGATCAGACCAGCAGAGGAGGGCAGTTAGGGGTGACCAGGCCTGCAGAAGAGAGCAGTTAGGAGCAAACAGGCTGGCAGGGGAGTGATCAGGTTGGTAGGCAGAAGTGGTTAGGGGCAATCAGGAAGGCAGGCAGGTGAGCAGTTGGAAGTCAGCAGTCCTGGATTGTGAGAGGGATGCTCAACTGCCCATTTAGGTCCAATAAACAAGCAGTCAGACATCCTTTCAGGGGTCCCAGATTGGAGAGGGTGCAAGCTGGCTGAGGGACACCCTTTCCCCCTCTCCCCACCCTGTGCATGAATTTCATGCACCAGGCCTCTAGTCTGTAATAATAAAGGAGTAATATGATAATTAGACTGGATATCCTTCCTTCCTGACAAAGAGTCTCGGCAAGCGGAGGCCAGGGCCAAACCCCTTGCATGCATTTCGTGCATGGAGCTTCTAGCGGTGATCATAATTAACCACCTGTGTAATCTTCTGTTTGTTATTGGTCCTCTCTGCTGGACTCTATGTGCCAACAGGACAGGCACAGCATCTTCCGCACTGATATGGTCCCAATGTCTGGCACATAGTAGGGCTCAGAAATGCTTGTTGAGTGAATAAGCAATGGGTGGACAGATCAGCCCCAATGTCCACCACATCACTTTCTAACCCAACATAAAGCCATCGGGTATGGCTGTGCTAAGCTTTTTGTGGCATTCTAGCTTTGCTTTTGTTTGGGGAGATGCACTTTGCTTCTCCTTTCTTGTGGAGCTACTCAGGCTCCTAACGCCGAGGTTCCTGGGTTGGCTGCTCTTGGAGTAACCACTGGGGCTTGGGAAAAATACTTGTCCTTGGGCTCGTCTCTCAGAGTCTCTGACTCAGAAGATCTGAGGTTTCCAAACTCAGGTTTGGAAATCACTGCTCTGGAGGACAAATTCGTGAGGCAAGAAAGCTAAGGACTTTAATTGGGACATTAGGTTGGTGATAAGAGAAGGTATAAAAAATGCCACTAACGATTGTCAATTAAACCGATAATTATAATAGATACTATTTTTGTCTTAACAGATTAGCCAAGATGAAAAGTTGGTTAATACCCATGTTGGTGAAAGTGTGGGAAACCAGCTACTCTGACACATTGCTGGTGAGCGTGTAGATGGTTTCATAGACACATGCTCTTTGCTATACTTGTAGGAAGTAATCAGATAAATACACACCACACCACACCACATCACACCACACCGCTGCTTTTAGCTGTGCCTGGAAAGGACCTAATGTCTACCAAGAGGGAGTTGCTCAATAACTCCTCCACAAATGGAACAGCTGGTCCTTAGGAAGGATGAGGCAGGTCTGAGTGTGCTAACAAAGAACCATTGCCACGCTATAGGGTCAAGTGAAAAATGAAGCATAACAGTATTTTGAACTTACATAAAAGGAGAAATGCTTGGCCTGGTGCACATACATGAAGAAGACGATGACATCCCTGCCGAGACTCAGAAGCAGCCTGAGAGGAAGGGGGCTGTTGGTCAGGGGTGGAAGCGAGATACTGGCTATGGGGTGGGTTTCTTACTTTGTGTATACTTTCCCTATAAATACGTTCTTAAGAGTGATTGTACACTATCTGGCCACCGTGCTGTATTCCTGAAACCAATATAAAGTAATGTTGAATGTAAACAGTAATAGAAATGATTTTTAAATAAGGATCATTCTATCAGAAAGAGAAGGGGGGAAGAGGGGGGAGAAGGAGGTGCACTGGCATAAGAGATGCAGGCCTGCAAACAAGAAGTACTCTTTTCCCGAGGCCCTCTGCTCCCACTGAGCGTGCCTGATGCAGGATGGCAGCCGCAGCGCAGATGGACAGGTGTGAGGGCTCCCGGCACCCAATGGGTCAGAGAAGGTCCAAGACTTGAGGGAGAAGGGGTTCTTGGTAAATTAAGTGGAACTGGGAAGTGTGATGGGCTAAATAGTTCGTCTGACCAGTGACTTTCCATTAACCTCTAAATAGCGGCTCACAAGCCTCCCAGACCCTAGATGGCCCACAAAAGAAGGCATTACCCTGCTGTTCCCGTTACTGCGGTATGGAGCTAGTGTCTGGTGCCCTGTGTCCAGCACAGGCACCAGACACTAGCTCCATACCGAGGCTATCTGTCTCTTTACTGAAATGCAAGTTCCCTGGAAGCAGGCAGGCATCTGTCCCAGCACAGGCAGCATAATTGCTGGTGTCTGTCTTTGGAACAGGGCAGCTTCCTTCCACTCTTTCCCCAGCGGCATCCTGTCCTTGTTCCCTCGCACAGGAGAGACAAGGACAGGTTTTGGTCACCAGCGGACAGCCAGGGGTGAACCCTGGGAACACAGGGCCACGCTGCCTTTGAAACCAACACTCTCTCCCACAAGCTGCTCCTCACTGGCTCCCTGGGAAACACCTGTGCTTCTCGCCAAGTCTACAGGAATCAGGCTGTCCTCTTACCAGGTGCATCCCTATGGAGGTGGCCATCGCCGTCTCAATCTCCGTGCCCACGTCCTCGATGAAGGGGTATTCATCCTGCCGGTGGACAATCACCTTAGCCCCGGTGGAGGACACCAGGAAGGGGTTATACTCCTCTTCGTTTATGTACAAGATGACCTGCAGCCCTGGGAGGACAAGGCGGCTCGTTGTGGTCACAGGCTGGAGAGCATGCCCGGGCAGCCTGCCTCTGCGTGGGACCTCACCACAAGTGGAAGGTGGACAGGGCTCCTCTGGAAGCTATGTAAGGGTGCGGGGGTTGTGGGGGTGCCTCAAAGCAGGGACTCAAAATTATGCTGCGCATCAAGAAACGGCTCCCTGGCCAAGACATGCCCTCCACGTGGTCCCTCAGGTGGGGAGCTCTGCTGAGCACGGGGTGTGGGGCCCGGGGGAGAGCTGGGCGCCAGCGGAGGATCTGGCTGCTGGCCTAGCTGTCTACTCTGTGCCAGCAGCAGGAGGGACCTTCCTTTTAAAGCCAGAAATCAGTTTGCTCAAGCTAGTTTGGCTCAGTGTTTAGGACGTCGGCCTGGGGACAGCAGGGTCATGTGTCACGGGCATGTACCTCGGTGCAGGTTTAATCCTTGGCCCTGGTCAGGGCACATGTATGGGAGGCAACCCATTGATGTATTTCTTCCCCTCCTCTCTCCCCTCCACTCTCTCTAGAAAAATCCAATCACAGAAGTCAAAGAAGATCAGCATCTGAAAGTCCTCGGTAACACCTCACCGGACAGAAGGCCTCACTGGACAGAATGCCACAGAACCCACCGGCCTGGCTGGGCTGGCAGCTGTTTGGTGTCAAAGCCCCCAACCCCCCCTCCCCCACCCCGCGCCCCTTCCTCAGCCTGTTCTCCTCTCCCCCAGAAGCTCCAAGCTCACACCTTTCTGTGTTAGCACACACCAAGTCCTTTCCTCCTCAGTCTGCTCTGCCCGCCCAGGACACTCGGAGACAGCCACCTTTCGGACGCTCTGGGCTGAAACCAAACTGCATCCTGACCCAGCACCTCCCTCCTCCCTCTGCTGCGTGTCCAGCACAGCGCCGGCAGGGATTGGTGACCGGGAGGCGTCTGAGCTTGTCTGCTCATTGGCTATCTGTCTCTTTACTGAAATGCAAGTTCCCTGGAAGCAGGCAGGCGTCTGTCTCATCCAACACTTTGTCCCTGGCGCCGGGGGAGGGCCTGGCACAGAGCGGTGATTGGTAAATGAGTGAAGGAGCAGGGCCTCTACGGTTGAAGGAAGACAGCTTGGGGAGTTGCTCTTTCATAAAGGACGAAGCCCAGCGCGGAGAAGTGATTTGCTCGACTTCACATGGCCCACAGGAGCGGAGCCAGCCTGTGGGAGGCTTTGCCCACAGCGGGCACCCTGAGCCACAGGGCCCTGCATCAGTGAGGACCCAGACTGCGCAGCAACAAAGGCCGGAACCCTAGAGGTCTGTGCCTCCGTGACCAGCCCTGGCCTCCTCGGAGCGTGCTGTGCACCATCCTGCTCAGTTTGCTCAGGCCCTTTCAAGGCTCCTCTTTGGGGGAAGCCGGCCAGTGTGCTGAGCCCTGCCTCCCTCCAGACCTCGCTGGAGAGCAGTGGACAGCAGCCCTGGGGGAGCAGCGAGCCCCCTGGTGCCGGCCACACCGGTCTTGGTAGAGCAGCACCACGCAATGCGGTTAGAGCGGCGATGACAAGCACGGCTGGACGTAAGGTGCTTCGTGTGTGCTGTAGACTGGATTGTGTCCCCTTCTCCCCCATTCCTGTGGGGAGACCCTAACCCCCGGGTGACTGCATGGAGAGGGGCGGGATATTAAGGTTAAGTGAGGCCATAGGGTGGGGCCCTGATCCACAGGACACATGTCCTGACAGAAGAGGAGGAGGCACCTGCAAGCTCTCTGCACCCACAGGAAAGGCCGTGTGAGCAAAGGCTGCATGAGCACCCAATGAGAAGGTGGCCGACCTGCAAGCCAGGAAGAGAAGCCTCACCCGAACCGAATCTGCCAGCACCCTCACCATGGACCTCCAGCCCAGAACCGTCAGGAACAATGTCAGCGCGTGAGGCCCCTGGGCGGTGATCCTTTGTCCTGGCAGCCCGGGCCGCTGACCCAGCGGGCCAGGTGTTGTCCTGAGGCTTCACACAGCTGTCTGCTCACTGGCCTGCCCTCGGAGCGATTGCTATTGTCCCCATTGGCACGAGTGCAGTGACTTGTACACGGTACACAGTGAGTGGCAGAGCTAGGTTTTGGCTCCAGAATCCGTCCCTTTAGCCAAGATCAAGGTAAGTGTTTGCCTCCCTAATCTCCTATTCAGTCTATCTGGTTTAAGTCCATCTGGAAGTGCCTGCCTAGCATCACTCACTCCAGCTCCGAGCTTAAACCGGAGTGGATTCCCAGAGAAGAAACTCCAGCCATTCGCTACTGCTCTCTCAAAGGTAAAGAGATGTCAGAGAGGGAAAGACACCAGGAGAAAAGGGACCAGCATCGGTGCTGGACACACTGCCGCAGGGAAAGTGCCCTGGTTTCTGGCCGTGGGAGTTCCTGCACTTCTGGGAGATCTAGCGCCCCCGGCTGGCTGCTGACAGGATCTCCTGGTGTAGGTCTTACCGTACTCGCTTCCCCCCATGGAGGTGCTGAGGATAGTCTCGTTTTCCTTATTGTTGAAGGTGTAGCAGTTCCCATACATCGGATGGTGGAAGAGGGTGAAGTTCCTGCGGAGGAAGAACACGGGTGAGAAGGGGCAGTGCTAACGTGGCTCACACTTTTGTGAACAATGGAGGACACTCAGGACCCACTTCTCCCAACTTTCCTGTGAGATGACACACAGGCCTCTCTTCAGGCTGACCATGCTGATGAAGACCTGCGCTCTGCTTTCTGTTCTCCCTCTTAATCTGCTTGCCTCTGTCTCTATCCTGACTTGGTATTTCGTATGCCATATGCCTGCCCCAAAGTCCTTTATTCTTGAAGTTCTCAGCCAATTGATGTTTTTCTATCCCAATCCCCAGTCCTAAGACATGATCCTCAGAGAAGATCACAAACCTCCCTCCTCCCTTCCTTCCTTTCTCCTTCCTCTCTCTCTTCTTCCCTCCTCCTTCCTTCCCTTCCTCTATGCTAAATCAGTGGCTCTTGATCATTGGTATGCAATGTGGCAATAGACAAGGCTGTATGTCCGCCATCTACGTTTGCTTCTACGAGCCCTTTACTGAGATTAAGGATATTTTGACTCTGCACCATCTCCAACCTTCCTCACTGACTCTAGAGCAAGCATGTCAAACTCTCGGCCCACAACAAATACCGTGTTTTTGCAGCCCAGGCAATATAATGTATGTAAGAAACGTCTTAATAAAAATTTTGAAACTTAGTTTTTACAATATCCTGTTGTACATAATTATTAATAACTAATTACAACATTCGCTAATGACTAATTACTATCATCGTGTTGCATTCATTTCCCTTATATGCCTTACATGCAGGTGCACCATTTCTCTCCACTAATACTAGCAGTGAATATTTAGCAGCTGAATGCCATGTCATTAGTCTTGGACTGACTTGTTTGGTGTGGGCAACAGGAAATACTTCGCTTCCAGAGAACAAGAAAAATAGGTTTATTTGCATTATGTTTATCTATTTGTGCAGTTATTCAGTGTCTGCTAAGTTAATGTTCAAGAAAAAATATTAATATTTATTAAAATGTTCTATTATTTTATGTTAATGCCAAAGGCCTGGTGCATGAAATTTGTGCACTGTGGGGGTATCCCTCAGCCCAGCCTGCACTCTCTGCAATCTGGGACCCCTTGAGGGCAGTTGGACATCCCTCTCACAATCTAGGACTGCTGCCTCCCAACCGCTCGCGTGTCTGCCTTCCTGCCTATCTGCCTGATTGCTCCTAACTGCTTCTGCCTGCAAGCCTGATCACCCCCTAACCACTCCCCTGCCAGCCTGATTGCCCCTAACTGCCCTCCCCTGTCAGCCTGGGTCCCCCCCCCCCCGCGCAACTGCTCTCCTCTGCAGGCCTGGTCACCCCCAACTGCTCTCCCCTACAGGCCTGGTCCCCCCACAACTTCCCTCCCCTGCAAGCCTGGCTCCCCCCCAACTGCCCTCCCTGCAGACCTGATTGTCTCCTACTGCCCTCCTTTTCAGACAAGTTCCTCCCAATTTCCCTCCCCTGCTGGCCTGATCACCCACAACTGCCCTCCCCCATTTTATGGTGGCCATCTTGTATTCACATTGGGGCAGCCATCTTTGACCACATAAGGGTAGCCATTTGTGTGTTGGAGTGTTGGTCAATTTGCATATTATCTCTTTATTAGACAGGATTACTCACTTATTTCAGCCCTTTGTATTCAGCATGTCTCTATTGAAATAAATCTATATTTGTATGAAAATTGAAGCTTTTGTGATTCTTGCCCACATACACTTTAACCTTGCTTAGTTGGCTCGTGTTAGCTTTGTAGTCTGACATGCTTGGTCTGAAGCCTAGCTCCTGTGTAGCTGTTCTCCAAAGGGCGGGCCAATGAGAAGACTGTCTACCATTCCCTTCCCCGACCTAAAGCTGAGCTGCAGGCGCATGCAAGGGGCCCAGCATTCAGAACTACGGGCCCCGGGGCTGAGAGAGCAGCCTTCCTCTACTGACCTGGCATCACAGGACACCCCGTCAAAGAAGCAGGTAACCACCAGCTCCTCTGCAGAGTAGCTCATGTTGATTTTCTTCTCCAGAGGCACCTGCGCCATGATGTTCATGTAGTGCAGCTTGTACCACTCCTGGATGGCATTGACTCCCGAGCTGAAGGTGTAGACAGCACAGTGGGATGTGCCGTTCGAACACTGGGAATAAGAGGAGACATGAGCCTGAAGCCATCAGCCCCAGTATTGGCCTGTAACAGGACTGGAAGGATGAGAAACAGACTCCAGACCAGATGCCAGGGGAACAGGATGGGGTCCCTGGGCAAGGAATGCACTTCTTACATCCGGGGGCTGAGGGACTTCATCCTGAAGCCTCAAGGACCAAGAAAGGAGTCAGTGAGGAAGGAATGACTCCCTACCAGGTGAAAAGCAGAACTAGCTCCTTCAGGATCCCACACATCAGGGCTTTGGCCAATTGTCACTACTGAGTTCCTATTGGCTCCACAGTCTAAATCTCTGAATTGTAGCACAGATTCTGACACTGCTTCTCTGCAGGATCTTGGGCAAGGCACTATATATCCATCATTTCACTACAAAATGTTGACGAAAATACCATCCTTCCTCACCTCACATGGTCATTGGAAAGAGCAGCATTTAAAATATATAAGCCTGGCTGGTGAGGCTGAGTGGTTGAGTGTTGACCTATGAACCAGGAGGTCATGGTTCAATTCCTGGTCAGGGCACATGCCCAAGTTGTGAGCTCGATCCCCATTGGGGAGGCATGCATGAGGCAGCCAATCAATGATTTTCTCTCATCATGGATGTTTCTATCTCTCTCCCCCACCCTTCCTCTCTGAAATCAATAAAAATATGTATTAAAAATACAATAATGAGAGTTTTATAGGGAAAGTATGGTACAACCCAGATGCCCTCATCATGCAGGGCTTAAACACTCTCCTAAGAGACAACCACCAAAGGGTTGATTTGGGAATCATGAACATAGTGGGCATCTTAGGAAAGAGCCCAGGAAGACTTGAAAGGTCTCAGTGCTTGAGAGAGAAGGCCACGTCTTCAGGGCCTGGGACTGGAGTCAGGAGGCCTCACAATCAGCACTCAAGGCTAGAAGGTATGGAAGTAGCTCTCCTCCTATAGTGGTGGCTGGGGCATGCAGAGGACAGTAGAGGTGGAGTTTGCCCAGAAAGGTAGGTAATGAATCTCATTTTTGGCAAATGGCTACTTTTTTTTTTTTGAGCCCCTCAAATAGGACTAAGAAGAAGAGATCAGGTGTGTGACCCCCACAAAGGCAAGCAGTGCAGGGAACACTGGGTGTTTCTGCTTTTATTTCTTCTTTCTGGTGTCTGTGCCCCTATTTTGCTTTGGTGGAGTTTCAGTTCCCCCTGTGGATACAGTCTCATGAGGCTTTCTATTAAGGTCCCCACCTCTGTGAGCCAGCAAGGGATCCAAGCTTAGCCAATCAGATATCCCAAGATGGGATGTGAAACCATCTTCATGGGTGAATTAAAAAGACTAAAACTACTTGAAGCTTATTTAGCCCAACAGCAGTATCCGAAATTACTCTTGTCACCAAGAGCCCTGGATCTTCCCTAATTTCTGTCCTTAGGTGAACTATTGACCACCTAAGACGTTTGCTTTCTGCTTAAGATAGTGCATCCATTTTAGTTGTCTGTAGCTCATTCCCCTGAGTGTTTTCTCCCATGGGATCATGGGGTTAATGTCAAAGGAGACACCTCCCTGACCACTGTTTGCAGCCCACCCCATGCTCCAAACCATGAGCGAGTACTCACCAGTTGGAATCCCACCACTTCCTTGGACTCTTGGACATGCATGACGTCCGCTGCCTTATGGATGATGCTCCCACTGACTTTGCGCTTCCGCCCCGTGAGGAAGTCTGTGGCCTTGCTGGTCTCACCCTCATTGAAGACCATCAGTGGGATCAGGTTGAGGAACTTGGGCTGGGTGCCCTCCCACGCCAAACTCCTGGGCTCTGCCTCTCGGCGTTTCCGAGACTCGATCTCTGAGAAGCCATACAGGGTCTTCAAGGCTGCTCTGGTCTCCTGCTCCAAGTCGGCTAGAAGGGGCCTCACGGCACTGTACCTGCCAAGGTGGAGAGAGGGAGTCAGGGAGAGCAGAAGCCCCTCTGGCACAAGGCTGGCACTCCTCCATGCTGCTTTCCTCCACATGTGCCAGCCTTGAGCCCACTGCTCCTGGCCATTGGCCAAGGAGACCAGGCCTTTACGATTTGTCCCATCCCGAGTGACTACTGGCCTGGGGACAGCTTCTGTGTACCCTGTGTGACCTCTGGCTTCACCTCTGCCATCACTGTCTGCTTGCTCTCAGGGTGTGTTGATGAGTTTGTCTCAACCAGCATTTCCAGAGTGGTGACTGTAGGTGCCTCCCATAAACCAGCCACTGGTGAGGGGGGGGTGTACCCAGGGGGCAGGCTTCATTTCCACTGGGCACACTTGCCCTTGCCCTCTGATTCTCCTCCAGTCAGAGCTGGGAAGGAAGAGGTGTAACTGTTGCCTTGACAACCTCAAAAACACAGAAGAATGATACAGGACTCAAGTGACAGAAACATGACACCACCCTTCACAGTACCAAGTGATCCTAGTCTCCTTCACTCTCCCCTCCTTTTTGTTCTGTGCATAGTAATTGAGCCAGTCACCTAGGTTCCAGTTCCCTAACCTGGTTCTGGCTGTGTCAGCTTGGACAAGTCATTTCCATGTCTTATTTCCCCAACTGTAACATGGGGTTAGTAGGCAGAGTCAATGAGTTTATTATGCCTATTGAACTAATGGTCACTATTCTTAGTTGTATTAGTGTTAATTGTATTTGTTAGCTTTTCACTTTTCTAGTACAATGTCAGTTCTATTAGGACAAAGACTGTGTTTGGGTTGTCAGTTCTATGCTTCATATTATACCACAATTTATAGATGATTAGGAAACAAATAATGAACAGAAGAAAGAAAGAAAGAAAGAAAGAAAGAAAGAAAGGAAGGAAGGAAGGAAGGAAGGAAGGAAGGAAGGAAGGAAGGAAGGAAGGAAGGAAGGAAGGAAGTAGGGGAAAAAAAGTTAGAAAGGGGGTGGAGAAAGAAAAAAGAAAAGAAAGACTTTGAGGTGGGACTGAGTCTTAGGCATGACTCTGGCCCAGGCAGCTCCTTTGAGACTTCCTGCCTTGCTCCCTTTCTCTCCACCCCACACCTGCTCGGACAAATTCTACTGGAGTCTGATCTGCCTCACAGATCAGTTTTTAAGAATCTCAAGGACACCAGTGACCCATTTAAAACAGGTCCTGTAGCCGAAACAGGTTCAGCTCAGTGGATAGAGCTTCGCCCTTTGGACTGAAAGGTCCCTGGTTCAATTCTGGTCAAGGGCATGCGCCTTGGTTGCAGGCACATACCCAGTAGGGGGTTTGCAGGAGGCAGTTGATTGATGTTTCTCTCTCATCGATGTTTCTCACTCTTTATCCTTCTCCCTTCCTCTCTGTAAAAGAGTCAATAAAATATATTAAAATAAATAAATAAATAAAATAAAACAGGGTCTGTGGCAGGGGACAGAGCGAGTACCAAGGCCTGATTCTCCCCAGAGCACAATGACCTCAAATAGTGGGCTGGGTTCACTCAGGTGAGCACTTGGGGCAGCTGAGATGCTTCCGGAAGTCACCTGGGTGCAACTTCTGAGTCAGCCATGAGCTCATATCTGGGGAGAGTGAGGGCGTGAGCTTGGAGAGCTCAGGAGACAAGGCTAAGCTGAGCCATGTGCGTGCATGCGTGTGTGTGTGTGTGTGTGTGTGTCTCTAAGGTGGGATAGCTCATCCCAGATTCAACCTCCAAGCCAAACTGATCCTTGCAGCCTCCCCCTGTGTTCCCTGAGCCAGCCCATCCTCAGAAGCAGCTGATGGACAGAAAACCTGGTACAGATTTAGAGGCTGGGAGAGAGCATATGTCCGCAGGCTGGAGGGCCCCTCCAGGAGGGCCTGACCCCTCGCCGGCCCCCGCCCCTGCCTCTTACTTGTAAGGGTTGATGTTGCAGATGGTGACTGCAGGGAAATCCAGCTTCTGGAAGTGGATTTTGATGGAGACTGAGACGGTGTAGAAGGAGAGCACCAGGAGGGCACACTGCCAGAAAATCAGCGCCACCGCCGTCAGCGTGAACAGGATCCAGAGCAGGCGGCGGAGGCGGCCGCGGGACACCACGATGCGACGGCAGCCATGGGTGTTGGTCTTCAGACAGTACCACCGCATCAGCTCCTTAATGGTGGGCGCCTGAGGCCCCCTCACGGGCAGGTTCTTCTTGATTTTGGCTTTGATCTTCTCTCCAGGAGCCATGGCGAGGGTGGCACGTGGACAGGCAGTCAGGCTGGAGGGACTGAGAAGCAGAGCAGGTGAGCTCACCCCGCCGGCCCACTGGCATGTCCCTGGAGGTGCCCACGTGCCCTCGGCCTCCCTTTGTCCCTCTGTGGGCTGGACAGCCTGCCCCTGGCCCCTGTCCAGGATGTTTGTTTTTGGGGCACCACAGCTGCCAGAGAGCTGCCTTCCCTTCCTGCACCCCTGGCCCAGCGCGTGGGGGCGGGGAGGGTTCACCCGGATCACAGGACGGCGAGAAGGAAATTTCACCTGGAGCTCGAGGCAGGAGCCCTCGGGCCGCGGGTCAGCCCTGCAGCGCCTTCCGAGCTTCCTAGGATTGCCCCCTGCGCCTTGTTGCCTCTGGAAGGGTAGCCGACCTAGCTCATCCTGCCCCCTGGTGCCCAGCTCAGGGGCTGGCACAGGGCAAGCACCTGCCACGGATTCTGACAGATAACCTCTCCCAAGAGAGCTTCCTGACATCCCCTTAGATCGTGTTCAGCCCTGCCTGCCAGGTCCTCCCAGCACTCTGCTGCTTTACTGGAAGTGGGGACTTTCTGTTTCGTTTCGGCTTCCTTTCCTCCCTTTACAGTCCAGCTCTTAGTGTTTCCGAGGCCCCTATTTTAACAATAGCTACAACTATTGGCCACTTAATATCTGCCAGGGGCTGTGCCACATTTCCTTGATTCTAAGATAGAACACACACCGATTTAATAACAGCTTTGTTTGGGGGAGAGTGTTGGAATGCAAATTACCACATTCATCAATGTACATGATGCATCTCAATTACAGAAACTCCACGATGTGAAATAACATTCCTTTTAGAAATGAATACATATAATATATGTGTATACATGTATCTAGGGTCATCTCATGATTATAATATATATAGTCTTATAAGTCCCATAAATATATACAGTCTTTCTTGATATCCTATATCAGTGGTTGGCAAACTCAGTCAACAAAGCCAAATATCAACAGTACAACAATTGAGAGCCAAATTCTTTTGAGAACCAAATTTTTTAAACTTAAACTTCTTCTGACGCCACTTCTTCAAAATAGATTCGCCCAGGCCATGGCATTTTGTGGAAGAGCCACACTAGGGGCCAAAGAGCCGCATGTGGCTCGAGAGCCACAGTTTGCCGACCACGGTCCTATATATAATAGAAAGCTAATATGCTAATTAGACCGGACAGCTAAACCTTCAGGACAAAGCCGGGGCTTCAAGAGCCGAGCCCCTAGCATGAATTTCTTGCATCAGGCCTCTAGTAAACACATGAATATTTCATCTCATGTTTTAACAACCCCATCAGGTAGGTTTACAGGTACTATTATTAGCTCCAAGTTACAGAGGGGAAATGAGGAACTTGTACAAGGTCGCACAGGCAGTTGAGTGGAGGAGCTGGGTTAGAACCAGGGCATATGCCTGCGGAGAGCTGGGGTTGTGCTGGGTGCTGCCTCCACCACGGCAGTGAATTAGCAGCTCCTGGGGCTAATGTGAGAAGGAAGGAGAAGGGGTTCTGAACTGTTTGCTTTCCCATCACTGGGCAGGTCATGTGGTCATGTCCCACTGGAGTGAAGGAGGACAGCGTGTGGAGATGCCGCCCCCATGACTGCCGTAGGAGACAGAGGCAGCTGAGGACGTGCTCCAGGACATACAGGGTGGTCTGTGTCTTCCACAAGGACCTTAGTTTCCCCTTCAAATTCTTCAGGCAGGGTTCCGGGCTCGAGTTACTTCTCCCCACTAAACCCACGGGACATTGCCCAAAGTTTAGAGCTAAGGCAACACTTGGAGGCATTCATACTTATGATGCTGGAGGGTTTCAGGGTTAGGATGTGAAGCAAGCATGTCAAACTCACAGCCCACAGGCCGAATGCCTTGCTTATTTGGCCCGTGTTAGCCTTTGAATTGGACCTGCTTGATGTAAAGGAATTGGAGTGCTGGGAGGTGGCCCAGGGCAGACAGACCACACCGAACCCGCCACAGACCTGATCCCGCTGGGAGGAGGAAGACCTCGGACCCTCAGAACGATGCTCTTAGACTCTCGGCAAGAGGAATAGAATTTATTTTTTGGCATTTAATAAAATATTGCCTATCCCCACCTCCTCTCTCACTACAATCCAAAGGCAAAAATGTTAGTAACAGTTCGTTTTTAAAACCTAGATATAAAAATTGAAAGAAAAAAGTCCCTAGTTCATTTTCCTGCCACCTCAAAGGTTTTGGGCTCTGCCAGTGCTCAGCAGAAGCTGTGGTTCTGCAAGCTCCCGTCTCCAGCCCTTCTTCTGTCCCATTAGCCCCCGCAGAACTGACCCGGGCCCGAGGTCACCTGCCAATGTCAATGACACTACAGGGGGAAGAAGGAAGCCCACCATTCCCATCGCAAAACAGATAGATGTTTGCACAAATAACATCTCAACTTCACAGCAAACAAGACTGCAGCTGCTCTTACATCTACTGCTGGGTTAAATAGGGTGCCAGGTGGGAGAATGTGTACCTGACACGCAGCTCTCACTCTTCTAAGCTCTTTACCGGTGGCCACACATTCCACGTCCACGTCTTCCCAGCGCGCACCGTGATTCCCCCATCATGCAATGGCACCCACACTCACAGGTCCGCAGCTTGCCCAAGGTCACCCTAGACCAGTGGTTTCAACCTTTCTAACGCCACCACCCTTTAATACAGTTCCTCATGTTGTGGTGACCCTCAACCATAAAATTATTTTCATTGCTACTTCATAACTATAATTTTGCTACTTTAATGAATCATAATGTAAACATCTGTGTTTTCTGATGGTCTTAGGCGACCCCTGTGAAGGGGTCGTGACCCACAGGTTGAGAACCGCTAGCAGGGTGGCCTCAGACCATCTGAAAACACAGATATTTACATTATGATTCATAACAGCAGCAAAATTACAGTTATGAAGTAGCAATGAAAATAATTTTATGGTTGGGGGTCACCACAACATGAGGAGCTGTATTAAAGGGTTGTGGCATTAGGAAGGTTGAGAATCACTGCTCTAGACAGTGGCTGAGTTGGGATTTGAATCCAGGAGTCCTCAAATAATAATAATAATAATAATAAATATTATTATCATTGTTAATTATTAATAAATATTATTATTAAATATTATTATTATCCTCAAATAATAATAATAAGAATAATAAAACAATAATAGCAGCCATCATTTATTGATCCCGTAATCTTCCCCAGACACCCTACTGAACTCTTTCATACATTACATCTTGAATCCTCACTATAATTATGTAAACTACTAGTACTATGCCCACTGGGCAGGAAACAGGTGCACAGAGGTGAGGTAACCGTCCAAGGTCGAAAAGGTAAGAAAGATTCCTTGAAATTCCAGGGTCCTGGCTCAAGACGGTGACTCTACTGCAGCCTTCCAACTCACTCCTGACCTCACCTACCCACATACCAACGAGGGAACTGGAGCCTCAGCTCCTTTTTTTTTTTTTTTTTGGAGAAGGGGGTCTGTGCAGCCCCTGCCCACCCAGAGCAGAGCCACCAGGCGTTGTCCTGCGGCCCATGGACAGCCGAGGCTGAGCCCGCGGCGAGAACTGACACCCTGCTATAAGGGTTTGCTTCTCTGCAACCACAGCCGAGAAGACACAACAGAGGGAGAGAGGCAGCGCGGTCAGCTCTGCGCGTCTTTCGGGGCGGGGAAGAGGCTGCGCAGGTGCCGGGAGAGGCGAGGCGCCGCCCCGGACCCCGGGCGCCCTCTCTGAGCGGCGCAGAGACCCCTCTCGTTAGCGGTGAGCTTCGGGCCCCACAGGCAGACGCCAGGGAGCTGGACCCCACTGACCTCCGACGGTCAGCATCGCGGCCACCCGGAGGCAGCCCGGCACCGCCGCCCAGCGCGCGGACGGCGTCCGGGAAGCCAGGGACCCCGCGGCCGCCCCGGCGCCTGGGTCCCCGCAGCTGTGCGACCTGACCCGGCTGCTCACCTTCCTCGGTCCCAGGCTCCCGCGCGAGCAGGTGCGCGGTCCGCACGCTCCTCTCTGCTCCGGGCGCAGCGCGAGCATCTCCGGGCCGCGCGCCGCGGGCTCTTGTGAGCCTCGCCGGGCCCCGCCCCCAGGCCCGCCCCGGGCCCGCCCCCACCGGCCCAGGTGTGTCCCCGGCGGCGCGGCTGAGCCTGCCGCCGCCACGCGTGCGCCGCCTGCCGCCCTGCGGCCGCTCTGCGCCGGGGGCACAGCGCAGTGCCTACCGCCGCCCGGAGGCCACCCTGCGCCCTGCATCCCCTCCGGGGCGTGCGGTGCGCACCGCCTCCAGGCCAATCGCAGCGCCTCCTGTCGCCTGGTTACTTCCCAGCGCCACTCACTCTGGTCCGGTTGGCTGCCAGGCTGCCCAGCACCAGGGAAACCCAGCAGGCTTATCTAGGGCTTCCTCCTGACCGGGCTACCTGAGCCCAGCTGCTGGCAACAGGACTGTTCAGCTAGACAGCTCGTCCCTCGATTTCGTCAGCTGCCTTTTTATAGGGACTCAGCGTGCATCTACAAGAAATGAGCTTAACAAATTGCAACTGCGGAGGACCATAGAGGCCCTTTGAGTGGAGAGGAAACAGGAGCGAGAGGGGAAAGCGTCTGTTCCTGCTCAGAGCTTGTCAGCCTCGCCTGTGCATTTAATCACCTGCAGGTCATGTTAAAATGCAGCTTCTAACTTAGCAGACGTGGGGCCCGGAAACCTGCATTTCTGACTTCCCAGAAGATGCTTCTGTTGCTGGTTGGAGGACCACACTTTGGGTAACAAGTGCTATTTCCCTGGAGAGTGCAAAGTGGTTCACATTTCTGGAGGGCAATTTAAAGAAAAGCTCATTATTTCAAGTATCAGTAAGGCATATGGGAATACATAACAGACAGATGGAAAAGGGAGCTCTGTGCAGCAGTCTGGGCTGGAGACCTAGGCGAGGGGCTCAGCATGTATGAATGGCATGGAGAGAGACGTGGCCAAGAATATATCTGGACTGGGA